TGCGAATGGAGTAGCCAGCAGTGGGTGGTCCTCAACGGGCTGCTGTGCCGATGGCAATAAAAAGCCATAAGCGTTTATATTTACGATTATAATTGGGCCTTTTTCCGTTCTGTGTCAACGAGATGGGATTTTGGAGAGGAGGGGCTGGGTGGGATGGGATTGGAAATGGGATTTCTTGAAGTGTTTGCGTGGAACTCGGCAGGAAATCCCACTGTTACAAGTGCCTCGTGCTGTGATTGTTCTGCATACCAAATTTATTGCGATTTCGCCGAAGGGATCCCGAGATATTAACTATTAAAGATTACGACAGCCGTTTATATTCACAAGCCATTCATTCTTGGTTAACACTTCTTCAAATTATTCTGTAATAATTTTTAAATTATTGCGTCTTCAAGTCTTTTTTATTACCTTATACAGCTTGTTGAATTTCATTTCATTATCAGACATAGAACTCAAAATGTTCACTGCCATAGCATTAAATCAACTAACAAGTTTAATCGTCAATACATTTACATTTTCTGAAAGTAAGGCTAGATATGGTGTTTTCATAATAAATATATTTTATTTAAGTGAATGGTGCCACACATATTCCATTCTTCTTTATCAGTTTTAACAGCCTGCCAATTTCCAGTTAGTTATTATCCACAGATATCGAGTGTAAGTGCTGGCCATCAAATCACTTAACAAGTTCAATCGTTAAATTTTACAATAGATCTTCTGGCTAAGAGCCCTCATGCCATTCGGTTTTATTGCGACGAGCGAGGCGCACTCAATAAATAATCAGAACTTAATGAACTGACAGCGATTTATATTTATGCATGCAACAACAAGTTTGTGGAAATTATGTCTAATTTGGTATCAAATCATAAACTCATAAAATCAACAAACCAAATTTGCTGACGCTGCCCTCCCGCGGTTTTAAACGCGAACGACAGAAGCGCGGCGAATCGGAAAATGTGGAAAAGTGTTGTTGCCCCTGCCCATAAACAAACAAGTCTCATTTATGTTTTTTTTTCTGTTTTCTGTTCTCTGTTTTTTTGGGCGAGAAAGTGAAACAATATTAAAGGTTATAGCAAAATCCGCTTCAAAAAAGGGCGCCCAATGGACGCCGTTGTCCATGTTCGCATTTTCACTATTTCACGACTTGACTTTTCCGTTTTGGCAGGACTCTGAAACTTTCGCCCTTCTTTGGGTCAGGGTCCTGGGAACTGGAGGTCATTGCCGCCCCTGGAACTAATTTTCAATAAATAATATCCATTTATATTTATTATGCATTGGCCCGACGCATTTGTTTTGATTTCTTCAGCTTACGGCCCTCGTTATAATGTTCTCTTCTGGTAAATAATCATAAATACGCACTGTAAAGATTTATTGTTATTTCTCCATGTTCGTTGAATGATGGGCTTTGGGCTAGTGTTTGCTCTTGAGCATTACGTTTTTTTATTGGCGTAGATAATTACATTCTGAGATACCGAATTTGTTTAGAGAGATTATCCTCTGTCTTATGAATTTGAGTGAACATTTTTTTTAGTTGATAGATTAAATAATACGAAGATTTAAAAGTTAAATTAACTAATTGTAATTGTAATTGTCCGAAATAAAAGATTCTGAATGCACAGATTCTGCAGAATTAACAACTATTTGCTTAAATTGCTTATATTTTAAGCGGAGTGTGTTAGCCCCAATAATAAACACTACAATATAAGGACCTGTATTCCTCTCATCATCCCAAATTTCAGCTAAGTGCACCCCATAGATCCTGAAATATGACCCCCCATATCATGCCCGTAGTCAAAAATAAAAGATTCTGAAACAAAAGAGCAATTTTCTTAAATTTCTTAAATTTATAGTGCTCGTCCCCAATTGCGCAGTGTGACCCTCACTATAAGCACCTATTTTTTATCCCACATAATAAACACAAACATATATGGATCTATATGATTTCCGTGTTCCTCTGCTCATCCCAAATTTCAGCTTAGTGCACCCCATAGATCCTGAAATATGACCCCCTATATCATGCCCCGCACTTCATCGTTCGCTAGATGGTGTATTGAATCAATCTGTGACCTTGTTTCCGGCTTGGGGCTGCCATTTAGTCTGCGGGCTGTTTATTGACCGTAGCCTGCTTTTCAGGGCGCTCGCAGCGGAAATGAGTTATCGCCCGCTAAATGGGCGCGCACATCATTATTATTATTATACTCGTGGCTAGCAACCAACAGCTGGAGTTGCGAAAACATTTTAGCCGGGATTTTTGTTTTGCTTTCTTTTCCCTCTTTGTAATGAAGAGAAACCGCGTTGAACACTGGCGGTGGCTATTTAAAAAAAAATAATAAAAAAAGGAGCAGCTGCAAAAGCGGGATTACGAAGTGTGTTTCTTGTTTCTGGCCAGGCTTGTCAATCTGGATTAGGTCCAGCCCTGTTTGCGGTATTTTAACTGCCACTCCCGAAATGGCCAGAATCACACTGCCAAAACTGATTGTGGATCTTAATTTGGCCAACTAACAACGTAAAATCTCAGGAATTTTTTTCTTTTTGTAAAAACTCTTAAACGTAAAAATTTTACAAATAAAGGATTCGTTATTGTTGTTTTTTAAAAGTTCACAACACTTTTTGTAAAATTAAAAACTGTGATCTAATATGTTAGAGCTAAAACTAGAAAATTTTACTAGTTTTCCTACTTTTTAAAGGTATTGATAAATTTATCATTTATTTATACTTCTAAAGAGAATGTTAAACACATTTCTTACTATTTCTAGGAATACAACATCAAGATAAGATAATAAAGGTCTTAAAAAAGGTTAGGAAGTGCTTTAACATATAAAATATTATTAAATTATTATTATGAAAAAGGTTAGGATGTGTGGTATAATCCATTTCAATATTTTATAATAATATTTTTTTCATAGTGCACCGCTCATAGAAGCACAGTTCAGGTGGTCAGGAAAAGGCACCGGCGGGACCACTCCATTATTTCCATATGTCGTGCGTTAATTGCCGCACATGTATGCTGACTGGATGGTATAGGGCCAGGATTGGGGGAGGGTGGACTAGGATCTAGGGATTAGGGATTGAGGATTGGGGATTCGGGTGCGGAAAACACTCTAGCTCTGCTGCGTGTGATTTATGGTGTGCAAAATGGGGTGACAAAGTGACAAGTACCATAAGCCGGCATTAGCAAAGAGTTGCGGGCAGGAAGTCACTTTGCGAAACAGTGATTTTATGGACAAAACTACTAGAGCGAGACATTTGTCATAAATTCGGATTATTGTTTAACCCAATTTTCTACTTTGCAAGGAACATTGACAACATTAACTTTTACATTAATATTTAAGTCCTCTTACATTAATAATTATAGAGCAATACATTTTTAAAAGTATAAAAACTATTAAATTGTAAGTCCTAAAAAAAAGGTCCTATCCACTAATTTTGTACATTTCTTTCCTTTATAAATCAATGAAAACGTTGTGTTATTAAAAAAAATATTCGAATTATTGTTTAACCCAATTTTTTTATTTGCAAACCACATATTTTTGTTGTCTCACAAACATTGACAACATTAATTGTTAAATTTATATTTAAATTTAGTTTAAAATTCTAATATTGCAGCTATTTTATTTTAAATTTTAGTCTTTAAATTGACCTTTTAAAACAAAATATTATGAATATATAGGGAACACCAGCAGTCACTGTATTCGAAGAAGTCAGCTTCCATTTCCCTGGGGCCAAGGTCTACCTAACCCTCCCACTTTCCCAGCCTTATCATAACTCAGGGGATGCCCCTCTTTCCGAGTGGTCAGCAAACAAAAAGAGTGGAGCCACAGATAACCCCATGGCCAATAATAATTATAATTTATGCGCCAGCACAGAAATAAACCCAGTCGCAAACTTTCAGCTGTAAGTCTGTCTTCGGAAATAACGAACCAAATTACAGATCTGTCTGCGAGTTCCTTCTATATATGTATATATGTGATATATGTAAGATGTAAGTGACATGACACCATTGCAAGTTGGACAACTTGTCGCCTTTAAATTGGTCAGGGAAAAGGGAAAAGGATTGATTTCGGAGGACATAATTTAATTAACCAAATGCAAAATTGTGCAGCGGGGGAAAACTGAAATTAAGTGGAGGCGAGTACAACGAATTCAATTAATCAAAAGGAAGAGACGTGCTAAGAATTCAAAGCTTCTGCAACTCTGTCAAAGTCACAGTCACAGTCACTCAAGGCTGACCGTATATCTTCCTTACCCCAATTTATTTTTTTTCCAGTGTGTGTGCGTGTCTGTGTGTGCCGAAGAAAAATCATCGTCTCTGACACATTTAAATTGAATTTCCAAATTCATTCGCTTTTTTCGCAAACATTTCTCTGGCTTCTCTGGTTCACGCTTTCGATTTGCTGTTAAAAATAAAACTCAAAATCAATTTGTGCAAACTATTTTTATATCGAAAACAACATACTACAAGTTAAACAAATTTCTCGTGATGATGTGTGAGAAATTGAATGAAGATTTGATTTTGTTGTATTTACGTTTCTTTTCATCACTAAAACATCAAACAACGAAATGTTAAATTCCAAATGAATGGGGCATTTTTTTTGTTTGGCTCATTAAAAATAATTGTAAAGTTATTGTTCATAATTATTATTAGTCGACGGGGTGAAGGTCACAAGGTAAAGTTCAAAATTTATCGGAATTTAAATGTTTTTTTTTGCATGAATATTCGGAAAAGCACTTAGCAATATTCCAGGAATTAATCGCATTGAATGGAAATTTTTAGATAAATGTAATGAAAAATATTATTTATTGTTTTGGGTTTTCCAAGTAAAAGTTTAAAAGTTGATTTACTTTTCAGTACAAGTCAGGCAATGGATTTATGAAAGATTTCAAGAAAGTATTTGCCTAAATTTAATGAATAAAATGTATTATAATGAATAAAATTAAAATTAAGCTGTATATGGATTTGTTTTTGATTTACTTGTTTAACAAACAATTTTTTGTTTTAGATATTTCGGCATTTAGAACGTCCTGCGGAGGTGGAACGACTTTCCCATCTCAAGGATGTGGTGAAAACCCACAGGGAACGCTTCATGCACACCATACTGAATAACACCGATGTCCACAATCTCGACGTGCTGTTGTCCTTTGAGTTGGCAAAATATGAAGCGGTTAGAATAATACTTATTTTCATAATTTTCTACCCTTTATCCTATCCATTAATTGTGTTTTCACAGGCCGTTCAACAGGCGGCTGAGGGAGGGCTGCTGATAGTGGCTGATAAAGACTTTCCAGAGCCCTACGAGCGATGGAGCATTCTGCAAGCTGTGTTCTTCTCATCAACTGTGTTAACCACCATAGGTTAGTAATGGGTTAGGCATATACAAAAATATATTTTAAGTTAACAAGTTTTCGTTTTTTTCAATAACAAATCTATAAAAATAATTTTCATATATCAATTTATGTGTTAACTAATTTACCATTTTTACAATATTAATTTATATGCTTTTATTTGTCATATAATTAAATAACAGGAAAATTCATAGCTTTAATGAAATGCTTTTGAAAGTTTTAAATTTTTTGTTATTTTCAAAAGAATATTAAATAATTAAATATATTTTTCAAGAACGGTAACAAAAGAGTTCTGTTTTAAAATCAATTAAATATGTTTCATTTATTATGTTTAAATGCTTATCCCTTATATCTTTGTTCTTTTAATAAGAAATTTTGGCTTGGAGCCTAATTGAAGTAATTAGCATTCACTTATTTCAGGCTATGGCAATATTGTGCCAGTGACGACTGGTGGTCGCGTATTTTGCATTTGCTTCGCCCTCGTCGGCATTCCCTTCACCCTCACAGTGATTGCCGATTGGGGTCGATTGTTTGCCACCGCTGTCTCCGTGTTTGGCACACATATGCCCAGTAAGTTATATTAGAATTAATATGTTTAAAATAAAATATATTTAAAATTAAAAGGAAAGGAAATGCTTGCAATCAATATACAATTTAAACTTTATCATTACGTATGAGTAATAATAAAAGTGGTTCCCTTATAAATTATTGCTCATACGCACTGTTGGCTTTGCCAAAATAATATAGTTTCCGTTTTTGCTTGAAAGCTCTACAACGTCACACAGTACTTGTACAGTTATTATATATATACTAATTGACTTTACTATTTTTCCCCAGCCAAGCCAAAATTCACCAACTTTATAGGCAAAACTTGGTTCTATGCCATTTTGGCCGTTGGTTTTTTGGGTGTTTACTTGGCCGCCGGAGCTGGTCTTCTTTTGCTCTGGGAAGATGACTGGACCTTCTTCGACGGTTTCTACTTTTGTTTCATCACCATGACAACCATCGGATTTGGTGATTTGGTGCCAAGTAGGTTCATATGATATTAATTTACTTACTTGTTTATTTACTTAATTTTACCCATTTCAGAGAAACCCAACTATATGTTGCTATGCACATTGTATATTCTCATTGGCCTCGCCCTGACATCAACTATAATTGAGCTGGTTAGGCGGCAATATGCAACAAGTTGGGCCAAGATTCAGGTAAGTTTCACATTATAGATCTTATCCATTTCATTAAGACGTTTTATTTTTGGGAAATCCTTTAAAATATTTATGAAAATGTTAAGAGGCTGTATTAAAATATTTATTTACAAATGTAGCTATAAATATGTATTTTTATCGGTCCTGAAATAATATGTATTTTAAGCAAGTTTTAAAATAATACTTTTTTAGCTTAAAGTTTTTAAATAGTAAAAATTTTTTGTTTTTGTGAGAATAGGTAACATTAAATTCCTAAAGCATTCATTAAACAAGTTACACATAATCAAAACTCAAACGTCTTCGATAGACATGTCCTTTACACTCAAATATATTTAATAATAAATGCAACCAATGTTTTCAGGAACTATCTGGACCCATGGCGGAGACTTTACGGCGTTTGGGTGAGACAGCCGGCACAGGTCTCGATTATGCAGCCCTGCAGAAGGTCCTTACGGTATGAAACCTCTAATAGAAACACTCATCACATTGCAATTACAATAAAATATACACCCAGGTGTCCATGCCCAAGTGGAATAGCAAGAAGAACGATCACAGTCCCGATATTGCAGCTTTGGAGGCCATCACCAATGCCATACTGAAGGAGGTCAAGGAGGCCCAGAACAACAAGCCCAAGGTCCTGCAAATCGTCATCTACGAGTCCTCTGTCTAAAAATGAAACTAGAAAAGAAAAAACAAAAAGAAAATAACAGACAGCGAGAGAGCTTCCATCGTAAAAAGTGCTGCATAATTTTGGGTAGCCAGCAAGAAAAACAAAATATCAAGAAAAATATCAAACGTAGTTAGGCTGCTGATCGTCGTCCATGGGTTACAGTGGGTACTGGCTACTGGCTTCTGGCTCGACTACTGTAGCACTGCCAGACTTCCATAAGTTAGTGTCCGTACCTATAGCTATTATATAGTCAAATGTCTAGGCAATAACATTGCTCATACGTACTGAGGCCACAACATACTCATCTCACACATGCAAAGCGCGGCAGGTGATTTAATGTCTATAGTCATAGATAATCATTTTTTTTTTGAGTAATTCTAACCGTATGATGTAGCTTAAGTTATATGTAATCTTAATTGTAACTCTTGTCCATGCCATGCATAAATGTCATCTTAAAAATAAAAACAGAAAAAAGACTTCAACAATTTTCAAGTTGTTTTAAATAGGGCATATTTTTTTTGTGGAAAATATGATAAATGATATAAGTTTAAGTTGGTTAGGAATCTTATTAATAAAGGGATCTTTTCATATTTAAAAGCTTTTAACTACACATCGCTAAAGTATAATTAATTAAATTCCTGCCACATTAGCTTAAAGCTGCAAGCTTTGACTAAATTCGTCGCTTGATTTTGAAGCTCGCTACTTATGGCGAATAAAACTTTCACCGGGAGCTTTATGAAGAGCTGAGAAACGATTCTACAGATTTTACCCCCAAACAAACCCACCCCCTCTTATTTACTTTAGCACTGTTCAAATATCTAGTGCCCTTTTCGCTTCAAGATCGGGTAAAAAATAGATACAATTTTCGGAATGCTAAATGGAACATAAAATATTTTTTTGAAATATCACAAACTTAATATGAAATTAAGAAAATACACTTAGAAAGTACCTTGATTATTACATATTATATTTTTTTTTTTAACAAACTTACTTACAAAAATGTACTTTTAAGTGTTAAGAAAGAAGCAGTTAATTAATTTGCTTATGGAAAATACCTAAAAAATAAGATGAAGCAAACTTCTTTTATCAGTTTTTATAGACTGGGGCAAATACAAGGTCCTTTCTGGCGGAAAAAGTCATTTTAAATGTAAGAAAAAAGGCATTTGATTAATTTTCTTATGGAAAAGAGTTTCAAATGTGGTAAATTTTTTTTCAGTGTACATATGCTGCACATTGTTGGCTATAAAAGTCGTTCGCACCATCGCCGCTGGCTAGTCGGTGGATTAGAGGAGGCGCGAGGAGTGCGAATGCGATTATCGTTTCTGATTTATATATCTGCGAGTCGAGTTCCAGTCTCATTCTCAGTCCCAGTCTCAGTTCCACACCCCCAGTGTGTGTGTGTGGGCTGTGTTGCGGATGTGTGTGCTCCGTGTGTGTTGATTTTTCGTGATCATTTTTCGCTGGATGCCACCGTCATCACCGTTTAGTTGTGCGCTAGACGAGCAGCGAGTAACATCCGGTCCCATCCGATCTCCGATCTCCGATCCGATCCGATCCGATCCCATCATCCACCATCCCATGGATAGCTGATCGATAGCTCGACCGATAAAGCGCTCCCGATCGATCCGTGTACCTGGGAAGTGGAAGTGGAAGTGTGCGTGCTCCGAACCGAATCGAACCGAATCGAACGAAACCGATCGGATCGCTTTTTTGTTTGGTGTTTTGGTGATATTACGCTGGTGAACAAGAAGTTGATTGAAACAGGATTGGATAAGATAGGATCCCATTCCGGAGCCATGGAAGTGCTGAAGAAGGACGCCGCACTGGGTTCGCCCAGCAGCGTCTTCTACTTCCTGCTGCTGCCCACGCTGGTGCTGTGGTACATCTACTGGCGAATATCCCGGGCCCACCTGTACAGGCTGGCCGGACGACTGCCGGGACCCAGGGGTCTGCCCATCGTGGGCCACCTGTTCGATGTGATCGGACCCGCTTCATGTAAATGCCATACTTAAGTGCCGCACCATTCTTAATTAGGAAGTGTAAACAGAGAAGATAAATTTGATATATCCTATATCTAGGATAAATTTAATATGCGTAAATGATATTCATTTTAAATTAATGATAACGGCCTGCTTTTTTTTTTGTTTATTTTTATTTGGATTTTTAATAAAAAGCATCAACATTACTACTATTTCCCTAGAATTTAAAACAACTTAGTGATGAGTTTCCACATAAATTCTACATAAAACACAAACAAGCATTAAAATTCTTCTATTACAAACTTTTTAACAATAAATACTATTTAATCTAACACTTCATTATTTATTTAATGAAATTAATTCTTTCAAGTATATTAAATCCCAAATTTAGTGCAGAGAAAAATGCTTCTGAATTTGGGTTTTGGTTTATTTCTTTACAATTTGAAGTTCAATAAATGCTGATCTGATTAATTAACATAAAAACATATTTGTGGACTTTTTAAGCTTTGTCCTTTTATTTAACGTAATTAATTGCTTAACTTATGAATGAAATGCAATTATATGGAATTGTACTACATACCTGTCGAAGGTATTTGATGGTCAGCATTAAGTGACACTATTTCTTAAATATATATATTTATTTATTCCTTTTGCTTAAATTTATAATTTCAAATAAAAAACGAAGTGAGGAATCTTTAAATTATAAGTTTTTCTTCGGAATTTCTTGATCTCCTTGAAAATATTTCGATAAGTTTCAAATATCTCGCCATCGTTTGCAGCTGTTTTCAAAACAGTCATCCGGAAGAGCGCCCCCTTCGAGCACATAGCCAAGATGTGGATCGGGCCCAAGTTGGTGGTCTTCATCTACGATCCCCGGGACGTGGAGCTACTCCTGAGCAGTCACGTCTACATCGACAAGGCATCCGAGTACAAGTTCTTCAAGCCCTGGCTGGGCGATGGCCTGCTGATCAGCACAGGTGAGCGGGTGGCGGACCTTAGGGGGCGGGCTTTATTGGGGGTGGAGCTAGTGCCAGTTTGAGGACCATTTGCCACTTGCCACTAATGCAATTTGCGGAATCATAAATTAATTAAGCGATCCGCTAGTCTGACAGTTGGCACAACAATGCCGCTATAAATAAAATCAACGTCGCAGAAAAGTCACGGAGAAAAATAATGGAGTCGTTTGTGCTTAACATTTTAAAGTTTTATTTAAAAATTAAAAAAAAAGAAGGCAAACGAAATTTTAAAGTGTTAAATGGGAAATGAACTTCAACAAATTGTTAGAACAATTAAAACTAAAAGTGATGTCCCAAAATTATATTAAATATTAATTTACTAAAATTAAAAACCAAACTTTAAAGTACGGCAGATGCTTTTAATAATTTTAGTAAGTCTTGATTGCTCTGCGGGAAAATTATCAAATTTGTTTTTAAATTTGTTCATTTTAAAAGATCAAATTTAAAATGTAGAAAACCTTTTTAAGAGAAAGTTATTTAAATAAAAAATATTATAATAATATGTAATATTATATATATTAATGATAATACTTGCCTAGGTTTTTGGGTCATTACTTTCACGTGGACTCTTTTATTTAGACTCAATCTTTCCCCATTTGTTGTTGCAGGTCAAAAATGGCGTTCGCACCGCAAACTGATCGCACCCACATTCCATCTGAACGTCTTGAAGAGCTTCATCGAGCTCTTTAACGAGAACTCGCGCAATGTGGTGAGGAAACTGCGTGCGGAGGATGGTCGCACTTTTGATTGCCATGATTACATGAGCGAGGCAACCGTGGAGATTCTATTGGGTAAGTGAACAGTGAACAGGGAACAGGGAACAGTGAACAGATATAGATATAGATATAGATATAGAGATACGTTATATGGTGATATAGTGATATGGTGTTATGGTGATTACACAAAAGTACAGTCAACTCTCACGCACTCGCAGCGGCACACCATCATCATCATCATCATCATCATCATCATCATTCCCACACCAAAACACACACACAGCAAAACACACACACCATACCCAGCATCATTTCAGTTTCAGTTTCAGTTATATGCGTGTGCCCAAGTCACCTAATCTCCGCCAAAACATACTATATTGTGATACATTATATTGTATGCCACACACAATTGAGTGCAGACCCATTTCCCTATATACTGACAAATCAAAAATTTCAGCCCCTTTTGTTGTGCCCCCACAATGGGCGCAAATGAGATATACATATAAATACATAGATATGTATACATATGATACATATGTACTATATCAGATCCCGGCCCCCGATCTAACCGAATTATGCCACCGCCATCTGCCAAACTGCTGCAAACTGGTTGGGGTTTGTCCTCTAAACGATCATGTGGCTCAGTTACGATAAATTCATAATGAGTGGTCTTTCCCTATCAAAAACTAACTATCGTAACTCAGGCTTGGTTTCCTTAATTGGAGTTCTCTAAGGTCAATATTGATGCACAACTTAAGTGCTGTGATTGGGATCCCATTCCGGAAAAAGCCATCGTAAGTCAACGAATTTTATTCCTGTGGCTTATAAAATAAATATAATAAAAAAAAATAATAAAAATAAAAACCTCATATAAGGATTATTTTCTGTTCTGTTATATAAATTTAAATTGGTTCCTAACGAATCAAGTTACAAAATTGTTTGAAAATGAATATATCCTATTGTAACTCAGCGGGGGGTAAAGATATATTAAACAGGTTTTATTTATTAACAAACTTTAAATAATTCAGTTAAAAAGCATTCAAAATATACATACTGCAATTTGAAGTATAATATTAAAAATATTTTTAAATATGAAAAAATGCTATTAGAAAACTCATTTATCTTGGCAAAGTCCTGCCGTATATAGGGATTTTTTTTTTATTTTTTTATAAAAACAAGGCGAATTTGTGAATGCAGGTGAAGGTTATCCCTATGCTTTTGGACCACCCAAAGTCGGACTTGCAAAATGCCACCCAAAATGTCATACCACCCGACAATTCGCTTAAAGCCAAACACGTTTTTCGGCGAGTCTGGAAAAAAAAAAGTGAAACCAGATAGTGCTAGACGTATTGGAAGGCGGCCAATGTTAATGACATTGCCGTAGTCGCTGTTTGGCCGATTTCGGATTGATTTCTAGGCCATTGCTTATGCAATTATTATTATCCCAGAGCTGTAGCTATGGCTGTAGCCATTACAACAGCCCAGGGCCCAAGTGACCAAGTGCCTCCGCCTTCGTCCCGTCAATTGAAATTGAAATGCAGCCAAGACTCACAGAACGCAACTGGATGGGACCGAAGCGAACCGAACTGCCAGCGAAATGCACCGAATGAATCAAAAATCTCTGGCCAAGCTGGGCTGCAATTAAAGGCACGTCGCATTGCCATTAAGCATTTAATCAGGAAAATTTGAATGCAACGGCCGACGGCCAGCGATGAGGTTGTTGTGGTTGTTATGGTTGTTTTGGTTGTTGTGGTTGTTGTGGTTGTTGTTCACT